GGTGAAGGAAGAAACACACGCTCGTGTCATGTACCGTAATCACCCTCACCCCCCACCCAAAACAGCTTGTTGTCTAAAGACCTTGACCCAATAAAGAAATCTAGGAGAATGGGAGACGAAAAAGCAAATTCGCCGACCCCATAGAGGTCTGTCTTTATAAAATATGGAATCAAGTGTTGGAAAAAAGTTGGTACCTGAATAAATGCACAAACGCAAAGGAACTTCCGTCGAAAAGCCGCAATAGAGATAGAAGGCTGAAAAAATTTCTGGTTATGCGGAGCGGGGCAGAACAGTTGGAAGAAATTTTGTCGGCAATGAGACGTGACAAATAAGCCAAATAAAGAGGCACGCACTTAAGAGACGGGAGGGTAGTCTATAGTCATGTGAGTAGGACTATTGGGGGCAGAGGAGACGGGAGAGGAAGAGAGAGGGAGAGAAGGGGACGCACGAATTAAATGCAGAGACTGCCACAGATAGGAGGCTGGGGTATTAGTAATTAAGGAAGGCAACATTTATTCGCAAAGTTTTGCGAGAAATGCACGGAGGAGTAAAGGGGCACCGATACGAAGGGTCTGCAGTCGCATTGTCGGACGTTGATTAGTAAGTACACAGCTTCGAGAAAACCTGTCCTGGCAAGGGGGGGCAAGTTTTCTGGCTGCCTGAAAAGCCTAGTTATGCAGGGAACGGAAGCCGCGTGCGTAGGCCATCCAGCGTCGAAAGGTCCGCTGCCAGAGGTCAGCGTGTTGCGGATCCAGCTTCGAGAGCGTCTTTAACAGACGCAGGTGTACAAAATGGTACTGCCAACGGGCCCGGTTGGGTCCCGACTGAAGAAGGCTGGCCAGGTCGTGCAGGTAGTCGGGCGGACTATTCTCCTCGGCGAGGTTCGATAAAGGTGGGCGCAGGGCTCGAGTCGGCCGGTTAAGACTATGTGCTAGGTTCAAGTGACGCAGGTCATAGAATGAACCGCTTCCGCTGTCGAACAAGGGCAGTACGTGCACCAGGGTGTTAAGGCCTTCGCTGAAAAGGATCTCCGACTTGCCAATGCTTTTGGATAATTCCTCTTGATCGATTGACGCGTCTTCTAGGGAAGTCTACACGATGCAAAAGACACTCCCATTGAAAGAAGTGAGGAAAACGAGAAGTGCTATCGAGCATGACGAAGTGATAGGACTGATAAATTACTCTTATTTATCATTCATACAAAACGCCAGGTCGGCAGTGTAAGTAGGCCGGTAAAGATCATTATAATGCGTCAATAAAGCCTTTGAAAAAGACCCCCTTTATTTGCGGAGACTAAGCAGTACGAAAGATCATGAGGTTCTGAAATTCCACCTTACTGGTATGCGAGGATGGAATATGTAAACCCCTTAAACAATAGAACAAGCAGCGGCAGAATACCGGCGAAACACGTGTCTGGGCCTTTTAGCAAGT